CTGCAAACTCCACTTTGATTAATTGCTGCGCTGCTTTAAAAAGCATCTAATCAAGAGATCAGAGGGCTTTACAGGTGTGCAGATAAACTGAGGAGAAATTTCTAGAGCCAAACCCAATAGAGCTTCATAGAATACCAAGATAGTCAAGTACTTCTTACTTACCAGCAAAGTATATAAGCAGATATGTGTATGTAACTTTGCCCAGGTAACCATTTTTTAAACCGGAAAAATCACTTCCAAAAGGGCAAAAAAGTGACAGGAGAGAGTTAATCCTATCTGCCGGCTCCCTTCCTCAAATTACACTACTGCTGGCGGGCTTTCAAATGCATAATATTAGTTGCCCTCTGAGCCAGTTCCTTGACTGCAGGATTCTTGTCCCATTAATCTCAAAAGAACTGCCTTCCAAGTTAATGTCAGCAGAACAGGTTACAAGACCCAAAAGAGCTGATTGGACAAAATGACCTGTAGTGCAAAACACTATTACTGAGCGTTAGTACAAGTGATGGGCTGGCCCTGCCCAAGCTACAGTGCTTCTGTGGCAGTAGGCACAGTAAATGTCTCTCCCCCACCTACCCTTTCCTTAGGTTCCTCATTCACAGTCCTTTGCATCATGCCTTCCTTCACCATGTCTCCACAGTTATTTCTTAACTTCTCCATTCTCTAGACCCAATCATCGAGCTTCTCCTCAAAACTGACCTACCTGTCTCTGTGTGCTAGTTAAGCTGAGCTGAAAAGAGCACCTGAAAATTTAAGCAATTGGAATGTTGGTGAATATTCCATTATTCCATGCCAGTGCTGCTGATTGGTTCCAGAAGTTCTGGAAGGGAAGAAAAGACTACTCAGCACCACTCCGCCTTTTGCCTTTGAGGTGACTGATGGGGAAAGGGATTCACAGTGCACTAAAGTACTTGTTCTCCCGCAGCCCAAGATCTTATTGCCGGAGGGTCCCGGAAGAGATTCTCCCCAGGGCACCAATACACAGGTTACCCACCTTAGAAACATATATGCAGCGAAATAGTTGCTATTTTGAGGATTATTAGACCTTAAGATGATTGTGACCCTGAAAAGTTCTTATCTGCTTTCCCACCCCTCTTCAAAATTTATCTTCAACAGTCACATTCTGTGCTGGTTGAGGATATGCCTTGCCTCGATTGCGTAAGGAGGACAAATTGAGTTTCAATATAGTCTAAACAGCTATATCATTGCACACAAAAATACCGGAGCAGCTGCAGCTTTCAGATGGCAGTTACTAATTGCAAATATTTGCTTCTTTGCTCAAAACCATCACTTTGTGGCAACCAGGATGTCAGAAGATACATTCAGCAATCACCTGACCACCTTCTTCTATTGCATGCATTTTATCACTGCAAAAATATTAGAAAGCATTTCTGCAGCTAAATGTAAATTGATGGTGTTCTCTTAAGATAGATATATAACACTGGGCAACAATTTTTTACTTTTTGAATGTTGTCTAGATTTCTACAACTGATTTAGGATATTTTTGCACTGCTGAATAAGGAAATGGCATCTGTTTCTCTCCATCAGGTCAGGTTTTCTGTAAACTGAATGGTGGGCATTGATAAAGGTAAGTACATGTAAATTGCATGTTGCTTCACCATTTTTCAAACTTCAGGGCTTGAACTTCTGTTTCTTGGAACTCCTGGAATGCTCAGTGGCAGGGAGGTCTCTCTTCAGAGTCCAACAGTAGTCAGCCATCATGACTGCATCCCAGCGACCCTGATACCTGGTCTCCATCTCTTTCATGTCCTGATGGAATCTCCCCCCTGCTCGTCACTCATTGAACCCAGGTTCTCAGGAAACCGGTCCATATGTGAAAATAGGTAGTGCATCTTGACGCTCATGTTGCAGCCCAGGTTTCTGAAAGCAGTCAGCATGTTGTTGACAAGTTCTGCGTAGTTTCTGGCCTTATTGTTGCCAAGAAAGTTCTTCACTATCAGAACAAATGCCTTCCACGCTTCCAGTTCCACTTCGTTCATTGAGTTTCCGAACTCTGGATCTCTGATGAGCTGACGGATCTGAGGACCGTCAAAGATGCCAGCTTTCAACTTCTCCATGGTCAATCCTGGAAAAGCCTGGCACAAGTAAATGAAGCAGTCACCATCCTTGTCCAGAGCCTTGGTGAACTGCTTGATTAAGCCGAGCTTGATGTGCAGCGGTGGGAAGAGTATTCTGTCTCTGTCCACCAGAGGGTCGTTGATGACGTTCCTTTCTTTGCAAGGCACCAATTCCTCCCGCACAGGCCAGTCCTTCTTCCTGTAATGCTGAGCACGGTCCCTACTATCCCACATGCACAGAAAACATGGGTACTTGGTGAAGCCAGACTGTTGTCCCAACAAAAAGTTCACCATCTTCAGGTCAACACAAATAAACCACTTATGTTGATCATAACCAATTTTCTCCAGCACGTACTTCACCGCTTCATAGTTCTCCTTCAGTGTACGCGAGTGAGCCAGGGGTATAGAGGCAAACTGGTTGCTGTTGTGTAGCAGAACACATTTCAGTGATCACTTGCTGCTGTCAATGAACAGTCTCCAATCTTTGGGTTCGTACTGTGGCACTCCAAGCTTGAGCAGAAGCTGCGCAATATCTGCACAGTACACCAAGTCCTTCACTTCCGAGAAAAAACGGAGGTACTCTTGATGCCTGTTGCGGAAGAAGCTGATGCGAGCACTGTCAGAGAGGAGGTTTTTTTCCTTCAATCTGGATGCCAACAGTTCGGCAGAGTCCTTTGACAAGCTGAGGTCGCGAACTAGATCATTCAACTCCTTTTGGGAAAATGGACGTGGAGCATCATCTTCAAGAACAACTTCTTCTTCTTCATGTCCTTCAACACTGGAGGCATCTTCGTCACTAATGTCAGGAAGTTCTCTGAAGATAGGCACTGGGATTTCATCACAATGAGCTACAGGACGACGTGCTGATTGAAGATCAGGATACTTCGTGGGGCGGCTGCCCCATTAACTTAGTTTTGATCCCCCAACTTTATGCTTTGCTGGACCAATTTATGGAAGATTTATGACTTCAAACTGATCCCTTTTCGACATAATCACCCAGAACTATCGGACCTGAATACTTCTTGTCATTAAAATAATCATTTCCAATCAAAACAATTATTTGACAAGGCATTTTACCCCCACCAACTTCTTCTAAAATGCTCCACACAAGCGTACATGTGAACAAAAATGTAAAAAAGACATGTGGCCATAGCTCAAAAACTTGACCTGATTGAGCAAAACCAATGTGATTTTTGGATTCAGCGCATCAGATTCATCCTAAATCAGCTGAAAAAACGCAGACAACAAATTTGTTGTTGACCAGTGTAATTTGAGTATAAGGGCTAAAATCTTCTTGGCTGTGAGTCCTGGAAGACTTGCTCCCTGCCTTGCAGGTCTTTTCCCACCTGGCCTGGGAGGGCAGGGTCCTGACTGACTCCAGCTACAAAAGCTGAGACTGCTAAGCTATTATGTAGGGCTATTTGTTGTGGGTGGGGTTGCTGCTGCTAATTTTTTGCACTTTTATTTTGGATCTTATGATTTATGTGGAAATTGTTCCGCCTGGTTGTTTTGATATTTTGTTTATGACTACTTTAGTTACGTTTGTAGTTAGGCAATTTTTTTAATGTGTTGCAAGCCGCCATGAGCATGGTTTTAACTTTGGAAAGGCAGAATAGAAATAAAAAAGATTGATGGATTGTCTTTAATATTTTGACATTATGTTAGAAAAAACCTTCCACTTATTGCTTGCTAAATCCATTTTATGACTTACGTATTGATTGCTGTTGAAAAGGGCCAGGATGAAACAGGCAGATGCTCAGCCTCATCTCAGACTGAAAATATAGAAGGTTTTATTGAAAGTGATGGTGCAGAGGGTGTTTTCCTCAGCAGCTAGAAACTTATCAAACGAGAGCCTGTGTTTCTCTAATAATAGTTGTCTCTCTTCTACTGTGCCAGTAAGAAAGACCGAATCAGTATTTCAATCTTGGTTTATATCTTCAGCACTCAAATTTCCAATGCTACAGCAGCTCTGCAATGAATGAAACTACATGTTCAATGCTTACAATTTCCCTCCCATGTAGTGTGGCAACATTTCACTTGGTTTGTTGCTGAAGATTGATTAGCAGACCAAAAGAGCATCTGTTAGGGATGAGTTAAACCCATTAACAAAATGGGGTTTGGACTAAGTGATTCTGATGCGTCTCATTGCTCTGAGATGATGTGATGGACTAAAACACATACATTTGCCAACTTAGTACACTCCTTTCCAACATTCAGACTTCTATCTTGCAGTGTAAGGCTTCACACGTTTAATATAATCTACTTTATCTGAGTAAATATGCATAGGAGTGAATGCCATCGATCTGTTTAGCACTGTGGAACACATTTAGCACAAATTAATTGGCTCAATCCTTCCAATGCTGAGCACTTTTTCCCCCAAGGTGGGAGACTGGGGGAAGAGGGGGAAACTTCCAGGTGAGAGCTGGGAGGGTTTCACCCTTCTGTGTGTGGACAGTTAAGAGATACCGTATTTTTCACTCCATAAGACACACTTTTCCCCTCCTAAAAAGTAAGGGGAAATGTGTGTGTGTCTTATGGAGCGAATGCAGGTGGGAGGCTCTGCTCAGTGCTCCCTTCAAAGAGCTGCGTGGAGCGTGTGTGGGGCTCTTGGGGGCTTTTCTGGGAGGTGGGGGAAGGGACTGACGGGCTGCTCTTCTCCTTCCTCAGAGAAAAGCCAGCAAGAACCGCACACACGCTCTGCGTGGCTCTTTAAAAAGAGTGCTAAGCAGAGCCTCCCGCCTGCATTCACATCTGGGATGCATACAGGCTCTGCTCAGTGCTCCCTTTAAAGAGCCGCACGGAGCGTGTGTGCGGCTCTTGGGGGCTTTCCCACAAGGTGGGAGAAGGGACTGATGGGCTGCCCTCTGTCCCTTCCATGAGCCGCTGCTAGGCTCTGCTCAGTGCTCCCTTGTAAGGGCTCCCTTTCGTCCCTCCTCCCGCTTTGCTGGGAAGCCAGCAGAAGAGACGCTGCGCAGCTATCGCTCTTGCTCTGCTGGCTTCTCAGCGAAGCGGGAGGAGGGACAGAAGGGTTTAAAGCAAGAAAAGCGAGAGCCGCTTACATGCGCTGCACAAAATATTCTTTTTCTTGCTTTCCCCCTCTAAAAACTAGGTGCGTCTTATGGTCAGGTGCATCTTATGGAGCGAAAAATACAGCAACTGTATGAGCTGGCTCTCCGATTCATTTCCCCCCTCTCTCTCCCCTTTCTTCTCCCCCCTTCCTTTACTCTTGTTTTTAAAAATCCCTTTTCTATAAATTAGTTTGGCCTTTATTGTATTTTATGTTGGAAACTTTCAATAAACTTAATTGACCCGCCCCCCAAAACCCTGAGTACTTTTAGGTCCTGCCATTTTAAGCAGCTGATATTAAAAAAAAAACAATTCTTCCTTAATGCTCTCTTATTTAAATCAATTGGATATAAAAGCATTTCATTTTGGTTGGATCATTCTGAATGGCTGCAGAGAATGACTTTTTATATGGCTGGTGAGTCCTGATGCCTCTAGCTGCCTCTGTTAACAACCAACAGCTTGATTAGTCCCATGAACTAGTTCTGATCTCATCAGATCTATTTTGATTTTGAGACCTGTTTCTTTTTTGTACACCAACTCTCATTCTATAATTTTTGGCTTCCTGGAAGTTATGTGAGATCCTTTACTTCTGTTTTAATATCCTATAGGACTTTCTACCCAGCCATTTCTTTCTCCTTTGGCTTAGATGACATGGCGTATCCATTCTATTTCCCTTTGGAACTCACACCTTCTTTTTATTTTCTTTTTTGGGGGGTCTGGCCTCTCATTTAGAATCAAATGTGAAGAAAAGGGAGAGCCTCTTTTTTAAAATCAATAAATGCCCAGTGCAAAACTGGCTTTGCCTTACCAGTTTTTCCAGTCTTTGATCTATTTTGTGCTATATCTAGGAAGGAAATCTGAAAGTTTGGCCCATTTTTGCTTTGGTTTGGCTTCCTATTTGTTTCCAGACTAGTTAGGAATTGTTGCCGTCAAGTTATTTTGGGCTCTCATGAGGAACCACAAATAAAGAAACTTTGAGACCTTGGCACTGCATGCATAGAAGAGACAGAAGGGATAGACAGGAGTAGGAGGATGTAGAAGGAAGGCAACTAATTTGGGAACTTAAAATATATGGCAACTATATGTACTCCTCCTTTGTTTTGCCTGCTCAGGGAGACAACTGATTTATATTAGGCTCTTATTAAGCGGGGGGGGGGGGGTGTATATGCACATTGCCCTTTTCGTTTGCAAGTGCTTAAAATAGCATCCTCCCAAGCATAATTCACTCTGTTATGTGTAAATAACAATGGAGTCAGGATCACAATAGGGTTGGATCGCATTATAAAAACCAGCATCAATCACAATATGAAAAATAGGTGTTTGTATAAAATGATTGAGATGATATTAGCTCTTATCCATTCAGAGACAGATTGGGCTGTAAATACTATGAGCAATGTCTAAACAAATGGTCCATTGCAGTTTGAATCTAAGACACTGAAGCAAAAGCAAGAAAAGCAACAAAAGACTGTGTAAAAACTGGTAAATGTTTTGAAGACAGCAGGGAGCAAAACAAAATAATACTCTGAAATTAAAATGTCTTGGCAAACTGAAAAAGAATTTAGCTGGCCTGTAAAACTCATAACCGTTGGTGATTAGTCTGCAGACCTACCAGTAAGTAGGATGTTTACATGTGTGTAGAGGGGACTACCACAGAAAAGGCCTTTTCTCTGCCTCCATCTGCCTCTTCTGAGTAGGGAGCAGAATGCAGAGAAGGGCACCCAGGAATATTTTGAACACTACAGACAGGTTTGTATGGGAATAGGTTAGTTTTCCAAGCCCCATAGGACTATGTAGGACTGTGGAAAGCATTTTGTATTGCACCCAGACATGCATGGGGAGCTTGTGAAGCTATTTCAAAACTGGTGGGGTGCAAACCCGCCAAGTGTCACTATTGTCCAGAGATGTCCCTGATTTAGAGAAGCCGTCGCGGTTTCTGATTTGATCCTGGAATGTCCCACTTTTCCTTATGATGTTCCTGTTTTCAATGGAGAAATGTTGGAGGATATAGAGTTATCCGAGCAGTCTGAAGTCAATCCTGTATAGGGAAGTTTTTTAAAAAATGTTTAATGTTTTATTATGTTTTTATATATGTTGGAAGCTGCCCAGAGTGACTGGGGCAACCCAACAAGATATGTAGGGTATAAATAGTAAAATTATCATTATGGAATGGGATGTCCCTATTTTCATCAGAGTTATGTTGGAGGGTATGGGGGGTAGTCAGCAGCGTAGTTTATGCATTTTGAACTATCTGATGTTACTCAGAGGTCAAAGGCAGCCCTACATACAATAATGTACAGTGGTACCTCAGGTTACATACACTTCAGGTTACATGCGCTTCAGGTTACAGACTCCACTAACCCAGAAATAGTGCTTCAGGTTAAGAACTTTGCTTCAGGATGAGAACAGAAATTGTGCTCCGGCGGCGCGGTGGCAGCAGGAGGCCCCATTAGCTAAAGTGGTGCTTCAGGTTAAGAACAGTTTCAGGTTAAGAACGGACCTCCGGAATGAATTAAGTACTTAACCCGAGGTACCACTGTATTACAGTAGTCAAGCTTAGATATTACTAGGAATAGTTGTGGTTACAATCCCTATAGCATGAGGATTATACCTTACTCCATTTGTGCAGATTTATTAAGGAACACAGGCTAGAGACAATGCCACAGATTCTAGAGTGACATTATAAGCAGCAGTTTGATTTCTCTGGGCAATCTGGCCATTTCAGAAGATAATTTAGAAGAATGATAAGGAAGGCTAAGGTGACATTTTCTATCACACTATATAGCCTCCTTATATTTTTAGCAAAACATATTTTAGTAGCTTTGCACAGTAATTGCTTCACCTTCTTCCTCATGCCCGTTTATAGGACTGTAAAAGTTGGAAATTTTGCATAATCTCCTACCATCGTCACTGCACACTGTCAGCATTTTACAGCATGAAATGAAAAGGAAGTGAGCAAATCAATAAAAATAAAATAAATTACATTAGGGATTTATAAATACTATTTTAGATTCACTTCCTTTTTGCAGTAGATTATGGGGAAACTCCTAAATAAATATTACATCCACCCCTCCTTTCTAGAAAACCAAGTTGCCTGCTTGTGGAAATTGAAAATAAACATTTCTTCCCAAGTTGGAAATAGGGGGCACTGAAGCCCCCATTTAACACACCAAATGTATTTCATGCACTGTATAACTGCTGGACCACTTAAAGTCAACACTTCAGAACTTGCAATTAGGGTGCTTTAGAAAGATCGTGAGCATCCACTGACAGCAAGGTAGCATATTGAGAAGTGCTATACAGGAGGGGGGGAGAGACATTAAGCATAGAGGCAGTGGTAGCAGGCATTATAAAGCTGGGCTATTTGATAACTCCATGGCAATCTGAATCTTGGTAAACATGTTTTTTTTCTTTCTGTGGGGGAACATAAACTGATTCACCCTTTGAGAACTCATTTTCCATCTGTGATAACTTTGGGTTAGATCCAGACTTAGTCATAATTAGACTCACTTAAATCAGGATGTCTCTATATTGAAATACAGTATGACTCTGGGAATCACAATTGGAGAAGAGAGCTGCTGCGGCTGTGTGCTGCTTGCAGAGTTCCCAAAAGCATCTGGTTAGCCACTGTGAAAGCAGAATGATGGATGAGATGGACCACTGGCTTGGAGACACCACCAATCACTATCTTGGACGACACTTTGAAAGGGGCTTCTGAAGATCCCTACAGGCAAACAAGGTCACCTGACTTCATTATGAGGTCAGGTGATGACTGTTGGGCAACTCAGCCCACTTGTCACACTTGTCCCATGGGAGGTGGGGGAAATAACGCTAAAAAGGTCCCTCACCCCAATCTGTAGGAGTTGGGTTTTTTTGCCTTAACTCTGCTTTTTAGCCTATTACCTGATACAACTTTTCTGAAAACGGGGAAGTTTATATAATGGATACCTCTGGAAATGTCACTTATGAAGTTTGCCAAACGAGAAACAGTCTTGACTGAAGAACTTTTAATCAGCTGAAATCGAGAAACAGGTTCTGCTCCATGCTGATATTTGCTCAAATGCCCTTGGCAGTGCTTTGTACGATGAGATGAGTTTACAGCTTTCCAGGTGAGAGAACCAGTATCTAGGGCCTTGTCAACATGCTGCTGCTTTGTCAAGGCAACAAAGAATGCTGATTTACTTTATCTGCATATAAACATCTCACACGTGCATTTGTAGCTTTTATTTGTCTCTCTTCTACATGTTCGTGTGAAAAGTGTTTCCAGAATTCCCATCAGTTTTATCTCCTCAAATAAAATAGATATTGAATAATTAAAACAACAGCCTTGTGTGTGTGGTGACGGTGCTGGTGGTGGTGAGTGTGAGGAAATTGTCAGGCTGCTTTGCCTCAAGTCTATACCTAGAACTAGCCATTCTCATGTCTTTAGCATCCTTCTTTGGGATCCTGCACTCCGCGACTCCCACAAGCTCTCTGCTGGGGCTATGGTTCTGGATGCTACCCAAATCGTTAATGCTCAGATCAGTTCAATGCATGGGCAAAATGCATTTCACAGGCATGGCAGGTGCCGTGCTACCAAAGGCTACGAAAGCAAAGATGTTGATCCAACAATGACATGTCCCTTTCAACCCTGTGACAAGGCAAAGGGTCAAGCACAACTTAGCACAGCAAGTGGTTTTGATCCTTAGACTGGGCAAGCGGCCTAGCACTTCTCCAAGACGGCAAAGGCAGTCCCATCTGCTCATGCCTGTGCTAGCATCTCCATGACCTGGGCAACGGAGGAGACATTGCTGCATCGTCAGAGGTGGATGAGACAAGTAGGGTAACGTACATGCCCGAGAGAGAAGGGACTACACATGGTTTCTGGCAGAGCTGGTGGTGTGACAGGTAAAGTGGATGAGCCAAAACCAGCCTCAGACAGCTCTGGAGATTGAGGTAGAGCCCATACCTTGCATGGTGT